TCGATGTGCTCAGAACGGAACTAAGTCTCGATTATGGCTCAGAAATCACAACGCGAGACGCTGGAGCTCCCAGCAGGCCGCTGTGCGTCTGACATTCCTCGTGTGCATCATTAGCCGCAGATGAAACGAGAGGAATCAACGCCGAGCGCTGATCTGCTGTTTAAACTCCTCTCATGCAGGCTCGTACATGTCAGCGGCACAAAACTTCATCCTCGTCCCTGAGCTGCTCAGCAGCATTTACACAACCTGCATTTTAATCATCGGCGGCGTCTCCACCTCCAGCCTCTCCCCGAGTCTCTCTGAGCTCTGAAATCCTGCTTCGTTAAGGAAGCCGAGCTGAAATGTGTCAGAGCAAATCAGAGCCCGTCATCCGTCGGCAGCGCAGGACGGAGGCTGTATGCAAATGTGAGAACATCAGAGGAGGATGAAGAGAAAGAGACGGAGACGACGTCCAGCTGGTCGTCCATGAGAAAGGATTCTGCCGTGAGCGAAGAAAAACGCTCGTTATGAAATCTCTGCATTTGAGAAATTACTCCATGTTGCAGCATCGTAGTAATTAAGCTTGTTGCATCATGTAAATACAGTTGCAATTTTAGTTTTAGGGTTGAAATATTACTAATAACACTCTTTTCATTTTGCTAGTTATTATGTTTTCTGTGTTTTTGCATTAAACACCAACGTCCATCACTGCCGCTGAAGAACAGGCCTAGAAAAGCTTTGTTATTTAGGCTGCACATTACGAACACTCAGCCTTATTCTAGGCCGAGCAGGTTTCGCGCCCTCAGGACAGATGAAACCCAATAAAAATCCAAACCAGAATTTCAGGAGCAAACCTCAGACCTGCTGCTGCCTCCTGAAAGGTCAAACAGGTCACACCTGACGGCAGCTTCACCTGCAGCGACAAACAGGACGTGATGTGGACGACGACACATGAGGCCTGTTTCCACACTGAGAGGCTCCGGCCTAATAATAGAGATGAACAAGTGCATGAGAATGAGCAGCCATGTGGAGGCAGACGCCTGTCAGCACAGAATCTAACACACTGACCTACTTCTGAAGGGCTCTGAGGCCAAAGGACGGATCTATCTATCTATCTATCTATCTATCTATCTATCTATCTATCTATCTATCTATAATTTATTTATCTGTCCCTGAGTCTTCCGCCTGTCAGCAGCAGTCCGTCGCCTCCATCACTGTGATTGGTGATGACTGCGAACGTGTCCTGCGTGTGAAGCGTGACGGCAGGAAATCAGTGGCGACATGCAAATCCTCGCACGCGCACCACAAAGACTCGTGCACGCCGAAGTGTTTGCTAACATCAATCTCCTGCAGAGACGTGCTAACAGCAGGGCTGTGCCTCTCCATATAAATATGTGTAATCAGCTAGATGCAAGGACAAGAAAGGAAGTGCACGTAAATGTAACATAAGTATAATGTTAATATTATAAAATAAGCAAATTTTCAGCATTTTTAATATTACAAGTTAATATGGAATTTACGCCCTTTTAAGCTAGTGTTAGCCAAATTTGTTTGGCAAACTAATGTGGACACGCACTTCTGCAACACTAATGCTAAATTAGCTTTTTTTCGCCATGTAATTTGGATGTTTTTTTTTTTTTTTTAAGCTAACATCTACATTAGCTTGTAAAATTTAAATAAGCTAACGCTAGATCATTTTATATCACAGGCTAACGTGGACCTTACCAGTCCACGTTAGCCTATTTGCTATCACCAGCTAATCTGGATGTTAATTTCTTTCTTTTTGGATGTTAACCTTTTTTATACAAGCACCTATGATAATTAGTGATTTTAAAAAAAACAACAACAACCTAATGGTAGTTTATTTTCTATCTCAGGCTAACATGAATCGCTAACTAAAGCTAATGCCTGACTTAGCTTATTTCATATTGCCAGCTAACCTGGATGTTAATTTATTTTTATGCTAACACCCATGTTATATGAAATAATCTAATGAAAGCTTCTTTTAAATCACAAGCTAACATGGACATTGACTTCTTTAAAGCTAACGCCCACATTAGCTTATTTATCATTTTACATTTATGATCAAAAGAAAAAGCTAGCGATAGCTTATTTTATTTTGCAGGCTAATGTGGACTAAAACCTCTTTAAAACTAAAGCCCACACTAGTTATTTCATGTTGCCAGCAAACCATAGATGTTTTGCCCAAATTAGATTGTAAAATAAAATAAAAAGAAGTTAAAGTTAGCTTACTTGATGTTACAAACAATAAGTATGTTAGCTTCTTTTATGCTACTGCTAATGTGAACTTGTAATATGAAAGATGCTAATGATAGCTTATTTTCTATTGCAACCTAACATGGAAGCTAACTTCTTTTAAGCTAATGCCTATGTCAACTTGTGGCGTGAATGAAGCTCACATGGGCTTATTTTATGTCACAAGCTAACGATGACATAAACTTCTTTAAATCTAACGCCCACATTAGCTTACTTTGTATTCCAAGCTAACTTTGACGTTACCCTCTTAAATCTAACGCCCACATTAGCTTTCTATATAAAGTCATTACTCATGTTGTTGTCCTGCTGCTAATTGAGAGCCTTTAATAGTTGCGGTTACACCCACAACACTGAGGAAATAATTTTCCATCTTCAGGGTGACTAAATGACAGCACACAGCGCCAGAAGCCAATAAACGGA